GGGGGGGGGGGGGGGGGGTTAATCAAGCTCGTTCGTCGGGAAAAGAAAGCTTTCCCCGGACCCCGATCGCCTAAAATTTTTTCGGGCCGTCAAATATGACCTAAGGAACCATAGTCACCGCCCCGCCATGATCGTTCCTCAATTTTTGCGTTTTTCGGTCAAAAAACTAGAATTTCGCCTGATTCCCATATTTTCGCGTGCGCCCAAGCCTTCCGAGTGGACCGGGCCCCCGCACTGTGATCAACTAAAAAATTTTCGGGCCTTCCAATATGACCTAAGGAACCATAGTCACCACCCCGCCATGACCGTTCCTCATTTTTTATGTTTTTTTGCCAAAAAACTAGAATTGTGCCCGATTCCCATATTTTCGTGTGCTATAGCCCACGTCTTCCGAGTGGTCCCTCCTGCATAGACGAGGACAAGAACCGAGGCTGGCAGGGTAGGTTTGTTCGGATAAAGATCGAGGACCTCATTCCTTTTGAGTTCCTATCGTTCCCCGAGAAATGGAACTCAAAATGTGAGTTTATTTTCTTTTAAATTGTCAAAGTACTTTTTTGAATCTACTTTTCTTTCTCATTATTTGTGTCATTTGACATGCAACTGTCGCCTGAGTCCCCAATGCAGTCCCGCATTTCAGGGAGTGGGTCAAGGGAATATGTAAGCAACTCATCTACTCCGAGAGTGAGTGGTGTAAGCTCTCCAAAGGCAAGTGGGAGGCACGTTCTCATGTGAGTGCCCTTCTTTTTTGGTTGAATTTTTCTTCGGGTCATTTTTATTCTTTCATTTTTATGACTAAGTCTTTTTCCTTAGGCTTTCCTAAGACCACCAAATTTCGGACAGTAAACAAGGCCATGGCCTCGACCCCGTATGCAAAACCCTTCACTTCATTACAGCCTGCCGCCGAAGCTGCTGCGAAAAAGGAGGAAAAAATGAAGAAGAAGAAGAAAAGATCTCCCGACATTTTGGACGCTCCTGCCGAGACTAAGAAGAAGAAAATGATCGTGCTCAGGGTCAGAAAGAGCACCAAGAAATCTTCCAGTGCCCAGGTCCTGGATTCCGAAGCTCTTCACCGGCTCAAGGACTTCCATGAGGATGACGAGGACATGGAATTCGTCGTTCACGAATTGATCGATGCCGCACAAGAGCTGGTAGCCCCGGAGGGTGCGATCGTAAGGCTGAATCCTCCTCAGCTCGGGAGCTCGAGGAACATGTGGCCATTGCTTCTCAAGAAGCCTCTCCGGTCCCGAGAATAGCTATTCTCGAGGATGACATCGTCATCTATATTCAAGAATCGCCACCCCGGCTGGAGGGAACTTTAAATAAAGCTCGGGCTGCTGAAGAGAAACCAATTGGCGCGTCCCGGGCTGTGGATGAAGCCCTCAAATCATTTTTTGAGGGTGTGGACGTCGGCATGCTAGAGGATTACTCTGGATTTGGCCACCTAGAGATCCCAAAAAGGGTCGTGTAACCGGGAGCAGATGGGCCGAGCTTGAGCTCGAAGCTCGAGAAGCAGTTTTCGGCCCTAAGTGTGGACCCTGAGCAAAAGAAGATGATCATGTTCACGGTACCAGCAGATACCAGCATGTTATCTGGGACAGCCGGAGTGGCCAGCTATGTTTGTTCCTTGGTAATTGAGGAAGACCAAGTGAATATGAATAAGGTAGATGGTCCAAGTCTCTTCAACGAAGCTTAGCAGGCGCTGAATCGGGTATACCCTTTTCCCTATTTACCTCAACGAGTTCACTTTGCCTTAATAGTTTTCTAACAATTTTCTTTTTATATCTCAGGCCTCGATGCTTCACCATGAAAGCTTCATCTGTCCAGGATGGAGGTGAGGCACCTCGAGTTCGAGCTCAAGGAGTAGGTTCAACAAAAGAAGATGTACAAAGCTCTCTGTGAGCAGAAGGATGAAGTCCTTAGGGACATGGTTGACCGCTCCGTCTTCCAGGCCGAGCTGGAGAAAGCCCAAAAGGATGCTTTGAAAGCTAAACAAGACCATGACCTTCTTGTTGAAGAGTTAAAAGTGCTCAAGATCGATAACAATAGTTTAAATGCAAATGCTAATGCCGCAACCTTGTAGGTCCAGAAGAAAATAACCTTGATCGACCAACTTAGGTCTGAGATGGATGAGGTCAAGACTTCAGCTGACGAGCTGAGGGGCAAAATGGACCTCCTAGCATCGGAGCAAGATGCCACCAAAGAGGACCTGACATCGACCAAAGTTCAACTCCGAGTGATGAGAGAGAAGGCCGACAAATGGTCTCAACTGAATGAGGATCCTTGGGCATAGCTTGCCTTGGCCGTTGCAGAGCATGACGCTCTCGGTCAAGAGTACACGGTACTGAAATCCAGATTGGAGCCTAGTACAATAATGATGTAGAGATAGCCGAAGTCCGTATTATAACGAAGGTCGAGTATGTGAAGTGGCTATCTCAGAGAGAGACTCTCGAAGAGATCTAAGCCCGAGGAGTTGATTTAGCGGCCGAAATCGAGGAGGCCAAGAGGCTGGAAGCCGAGGCTAAGGCAAAGTACCAGCCCGAGGGTTCAGATAGTGAGCTGGGCTTCGAGGAAGACTAGGCAGAAGATGTTTATTTTGTTTTGTTATTTGTACGCTTTTTACTTCGGGATCGTTTTATCGTGCCTTTGTAAATACCTTTTTCACTTTTTATATATGAAATTTTCACGTTGACTACATATTGCGTCCTTTAACTTTTGCGCATTTGCATATATTTAGGACTTAAGATATATAACTTGTATCTCAGATCTAGTATATCGTCAGTGCCTTAGCATAATATTTGACATTGCTTAAATTGATCAGCTTCCAAAGCCCGGATAAGGCCTTGATCAAGTAACGACTCTGAGTTGCTTTGACTTTGGAGGATACGATATAAAATAAAACAAAGTCTTTATTGAAATATTCGAATGATTAATCTGGACACAGTTAGCTTTTGCAGAAAGGGAATCTTTTCATGGCCGTAATTCGAGACCGATTGACTTGACTAGATTAGACGTAATCTCTTGTGGATTTAAAATGCGTAATGACCTTATTTTTAATGTATACAAACTCGGACGTCTCCGAGTCGCTTATACATCATTATCAAAGCTCCAATGGCTTCGTATCTTAAGTTGGCTATGGCCTTTCGCATTTTGGCCCGACCTCGTAGGCTTGGTGCCCTCGGCGATCCGTAGGCTTAAGGGTCTTTAGGTGGTTGAGCATGGTCCCGTGGACTCTTACTGCCTTCGGGGTTACATGCCCCTGGTTAATGGTGGCCCGTGGACCTAGGAGGTTTTGAACCCGGCGCTCGTTCTAAGTAACGATAACATTGCTCATGCGAACGTGAATTTATGAAACGTAGAAGGCGAATTTCTCATTTTATTACTTTAAATGTAGTGTAAGTAATTGAAGATACAAAACTATCTGCCATGGCGAGAACGAGCTATATGGGCACGGTTTGTTTGACCGTTTGGCCCTTACAATAAATCCTATCATTCAAGCCTTGGCTTTCAATGTTGAATAAAATTGCCTTCTAAATTTCCAAGCTTAGATCTTTTGTTCTTGACTCAGGGTATGACAGTCCCCTAGTACTCAAGGCTGAATTTTGAGGGCTGGGGTACTATTAATATGATACGGTCAATCCTCAGTCCCCGGTCTTAGACCGGTCTTCAAAACTAGAGTAGCACGCTTACTGTTGCCTCGTTAAAAACCTTGCCGTAAAACCCACTTCGGGAAAAAATCGGTCGAAGGGAAAAAGAGTGCAACACGTGCTTTCAGACCTAATCCTTGGACTTGACTTCGATTAAGTACCTGCATGGGTTAGGTCAAAGTGTAATTAATCTTAAAGAAAATTTATGTATTCATACCATAGCAGTAGTACAACTTTAAGTATGCCACATTCCAGTTGTTTGGCAGTTGTATACCATTTTTGGGCTCAAGGTGGTACGAGCCTTTCCCGGTTATACTGGTGACTCTGTATGGTCCTTCCTAGTTCGGGCCTAGTTTCACGTCATTCAGGTTCTTGGTATGCAGTGTGACTTTTCTCAACACCAAGTCCCGACTTGGAAGTGTCAAAGATTTGCCATTCGGTTGTAGTATCTTCCCATTCGCTACTTTTGAGCTGCTAACCGGACTAGGGCGGCTTCATGCCTTTTGTCTGCTAAATTTAGGCTTGTGGCCATAACCTTGTTGTTCGATGTCTCAGTAACATATCAGAACTTTAAGCTCGGTTCTCCCACTTCTACCGGAATCAAAGCTTCTACACGTAGACTAGAGAGAACGGTGTTTCACTGGTACTCGACCTCAAAATTGTTTGATATACCCATAGGACCTCGGGCAGGATTTCATTCCACTTTTATTTTGAGTCGGTCAACCTTTTCTTCAAGTTCTGCAGTATGGTTTTTATCCTCTTGACTATTCGCACTCGGGTGATAAGGGGTTGCTAAAATCTTTTTGATTGCTGCTGATGAATTGTCTCCCGTTGTCGCACGTGATCTCGTTCGGTATCCCGAACCCGCATATTATATGATCCCAGATGAAGTCAATGACCTCCTTTTCTATAACTTTCTAGAACGCATGTACTTCAACATACTTGGAGAAGTAGTCGATCATAAGCAGGATGTACTAGGCCTTACTGGGTGCCCATGGTAAAGGACCTACGATGTCTATTTCCTACTTCATGAACGGCTAAGGGGAAAGGACCGGGTGAAACAACATCCGATTTGTAGATCACCGGGGCATGCTTTTGACATTTGTTTCATTTTTGAATAAATTCCTTCGCATCCTTTTCCATTTTTTTCCAGTAATATCCGGCCCTGATCAATTTCTGAACCAACGATTCCGCTCCTGAATGGTTTTCGCAAGTGCCCTCATGGACTTCCCTCATCATGTAATCGATCTCCCTGGGCCCGAAACATCTTTCTAACGATCCAAAAAATGACCTTCGGTACAGTTGGCCCCCAACTAAGCTGAACCTGGCGGATTTAATTCTAAGGGCCCTTGATTCTTTAGGGTCCGATGGCAGTTTCCCCTTCTGAAGATAGTCTATGTATTTTGTTCTCCAATACCAGGTCAAACTCGTTGAGTTTACCTCGGCATGACTTTCCTCTATTACTGAGCTCATCAATTTTACCACCATTCCGAAGTTAAATTCATCGAAGTCGGCTGACGATCCTAAGTTAGCCAAAGCATCGACCTCGTTATTCTGATCTCGGGGCACATGTCGTAACATTCATTCTCTGAACTGATGTAACACCACTTTTAATTTATCCAAGTATCTTTGCATCCCGTCTTCTTTGACTTTGAATGTTTCATTAACTTGGTTAAAAACGAGGAGGGAGTCACACTTAGCTTTGATCACCTCAAACCCAGGCTCTTAGCCAGTTCAAGACCTGCAATCATAGCCTCATCGGCTTCATTGTTAGTCAATTCACAGTTTTAATAGATTGCCTTATTATATTACTATGGGTGGTTTTAATACGATTCCCAGCCCATACCCTTTCGTGTTAGAAGCACCATCCGTGAATAGAGTCTAGACCCCCGAGCTAGTCCCCGAGGCAAGTAATAATTCATTATCGACCTCGAAGATCAAGGCCGATGTGAAATCTGCCCAAATCTAAGACTTTATAGTTATTCAAGGTTTGTATTCAACATCGTACCCGCTAACCTCTATGGCCCATTTGCTAGCCGACCTGAGAGCTCGGGTTTGTGCATAGCGTTCCTTAGCGGATACAAGGCCACGATACATATAGGGTGACATTGAAGGTATGATTTTTGTTTCCTAGATGCGCTTAACAAGGCAAGCGCTAATTTCTCTAGATGTGGATACCTCGTTTCGACATCACCTAGGGTTCTACTAACATAATAGATAGGAAAATACGTACCTTCTTCCTCCCGAACTAGGACACCACTTACCGCTACCACGGATACTGCCAAGTAAAGATACAACTGCTCGTTCGCCTTCGGGGTGTGCAGCACAAGAGGACTTGATAAGTATCATTTTATTTATTCTAAAGCCTTTTGGCACTCCGGGGTCCAAGAGAACTCAATCTTTTTCTTTAGTAGCGAGAAAAATCTATGGCTTTTATCCGATGACCTAGAAATAAATCGGCCCAATACGGCTATCCACCCCACCAGCCTCTACACCGCCTTGATGTTGTCAACTGCGATGATATCTCCTATGGCCTTTATTTTATCTGGGTTAATCTCTATTCCTCGGTTAGATACCATGAAATAGAGGAACTTGCCCGAGCCAACTCCGAAAGTTTCCTACAAATATTTCAAATGGTCCTCTGCCTGTAGGGACTTAACTAACATATCGTCAACATAAACCTCTATTGATTTCCCTATTTATTCCCCAAACATTCGATTAACTAAACGTTGATATGTGGCACCGACGTTTTAACCCAAATGGCATCACATTATAACAATAAGTGTTGAACTTAGTTATGAAAGAAGTTTTCTCTTGGTCGCCCGGGTCCATCCGTATTTGGTTGTACCCAGAATAGGCATCGAGAAAGCTCAACGTCTCATGTCCAGCCATCACATTGATCATTCGATCAATGTTAGGCAAAGGGAACAAGTCTTTTGGGCATGCCTTATTCAAGTCCTTATAATCTACACATATTCTAAGCTTGTTTCCTTTTTTAGGTACGATGACTAAGTTAGCTAGCCAATCCGGGTAATTGACCTCCCGAATAGATCCTATTTTTAAGAGTTTAGATACCTCGTCTTTAATGAACGCGTGCTTAACTTCGGACTATGGCCTCCTCTTCTGTTTGATCGGGTGAAAGTTTGGATCCAAGCTCAATTTGAGAGTAGTTATCTTCGGTGGGATTCCTGTCATGTCTAAGTGGGACCAGGCAAAACAATCGGCATTAGCTTTCAGAAAATAAATGAGTTTTTTCCTGAGCTCAGGGGTTAATCCCGTGCCCATGTATACCTTTATGTTTGGTAGGTGCTCGAACAATATGACATATTCCAGGTCCTTGATTGTTGACTTGGAGGCATCGATATCATCAGGTTCTACGAAGGATCTCGAGACCCCGAAGTCATCTTCCTTATCTGTTGGTCGTTCCTCCTATTTTTTTGGCCCGGTCGGGGTCGGGACTTGTGATTGCTATTTGGTGCCTTTCTCTTCGACCAGTCCCTCACTTTTTAATGTTGTGATTGCGGGCACCAGGATCACTTCCTTGACAGCGAATATCTCCTTTGTGGCCGATTGTTCCCCGTAGACCGTTTTGATTTCACTTGGGGTTGGAAACTTCAATGCTTGATGCAAGGTCGACAGTACCGCC